CAAAGAATGCATACACCTGTAATAATTACAGGTGTATGCATAAATAATTATTATTAATTGACAATTATTTTAGTGCTAAGTGTAAGTTGATATTTCTTCACCAAAAAATGTTCTGAGCATCAAAAGTTGCTAGACATTTATTATTGTTATAATTATTGTTTTTCAGGTTCCTTGACTGTGATATCAGCCAAAGCTGTGTCGTCAATGATAAACATCACACTGGGTGGAAACAGTCAGTTGGGGCACCCACTGTTTTATGTCATGTTGATTGTAATGATCACCACAGCAATTGCCCAAGTCAAGTAAGTTAATATCTTTTACTTTTCTAATGACCAACGTTGAGGTTCTGTTCATAATATCCCTGCAAAAGTAAGTCTTCTGGTCATAAGAATACAGAAAATTCATCTTGTCACATATTGAATGAAAGTCATCTTGATTTTGATAGGGCTGAATTTATTTCAAGTAGCTGGATTGAAACAAACATTATTATTTTGGCTCTCTTGTCTCTGGACAGTTGTGCACAACAACAGCTCTTTACTTGGGTTAGCAATGTGCATGGTAGTCAATTCTCCACCCAATGTGATAAAAAATTGTATTTTGACACTGGGGCATAAAAGAAGTGTTTTTTTAATAAATCATTCTGACCAGTGACAGACTGAAAAAAATATATAGAATTTACATAGACCTGTTTAATGAGCAGAGCTGCTGGTCATGCAATGCAAGGCATTCCTCAAATCTTGATTGTAATGTCTACGTTGTCCTTTACTTGTAGATAACTGATTTCATCTGATGTTTTACTTTAAAAATAGTGAAATTCTGAAACAGTTTTGTTTGCCTTTAGATTCCTGAACAGAGCTATGCAATCATTTGATGCCACTGTTGTGGTCCCCACCAATTTTGTCTTGTTCACAATTAGTGCCATTATAAGTGGTGAGTACAATACAAAGATGTAGCCACTATTCTTTAGTTTTCAAATCAAAGAGAATTGTCTTTTTGCAAAATAGATACATGTAGGGCTTTAAAGAAGAATAAGGGAATGTGGAGAATGAAACATTTTTTATTTCCTTGAAGCAACATAACTGCAAACATTGTTTGATGTTGCAGGTTGAAGTTACAGGCAGTGGGGTTGCTTTCACAGGAGAAAAACCAAAATGCAAAATATAAAATAAGACAAAATCTTGTCACTTGTATTATGGACTGTTTTGTTTGAACAAAAAACATAATTTTACAGCCAACTAAGATTTCCCTTTCACTTTCAGGTATTGTTTTATATAAAGAATTCTATGGACTTACCTTCCTGGAAATATTTATGTTTCTCTTTGGGTGAGCATCTTCTTATTCGTGTAAACTTACTTAGTTGTTGTATTGTTATCGTATAGTTTCTTAGATACCATCATCAACAAAATAGTTAACTAGAAAACACTTATTTTTAAGGGTGATGCTGAATAAATAAATAAATGATATTTAATGAAAATACACATCTTGTAGAGTAACTAGTGCATTGTAACCTCAGTTATGAAGCGTCTGCCTTTTATCTTGTGCCCCTGCCTTCTCTCTTCACCAAACCAATATTGAGTTTCTTACAGCACAGAGCTTTGCAGCTGTGCAACATTGAGAAGAAGACGAAGGGAGGAGAGGGAATCAGGGAATCATCTCTGGAAGTCTTTGGACTAGTAATAGGGCAGGAAAAGGACCACAAAATGTCATTATATTTTGCTACAAACTGTCTTAACGTGTTTTGTCAGAAATAGTCAAAAATAACGTACTTTACTACATGTAAATTTTCAATGATAACAGGCTTTACTGGTATGTGTTGACTGGTTCAAAGAGAAATCATGTGATGAGCTGTGTCCTTAGTTTCTTGATAACAATGCAGATATGGAATAGTGGA